TTTTTTTTTTTCAGGTTTAGGTTTAGGTTTAGAGATCTGCTTACAGCAACGGGGCGTAGAATAAAATTTTGTTAAATTCTCTCAATGAAGTGGGCAAAAAGAAGGGGCAAATAAGTGTGAGGTAGAAAAGAAGATAGTTTTTTTGTTTGTTGTTTTTTTTTCCTGATTATTCTTTTTGAAAGCGTAAAATACTTGCCGGTTGCGAGAATGATGTTTTTTTCCGCATTTTGCGTTCTTTATTCCAAGCGGACGCTACTGGAAGGGAAGAAATAGGAAAGAAATGAAATAAACTTGACATCATGTTATATGGAAATAAAATTTAGTTTTTTTTTCTTTTCTTTGAAACTTCTCTTTCACCTTTTTTTTTCATTCAATTTTTCCTTTCGCTAACACAAATTTAGTTGGCTTAGTTAAAACAGATGTTGGTAATGGAAAGTGGAGGTGTAATGAAGATGGAAGAATTGAGTGAAAATATAGGAATAATTTTTTTGCTTTATGGCTACTGAGCAGAAGATAGAGGAGGAAGGGGAAGAAAAGGAAAAAGGAGGGGTTTTTCCGATTGAAATAAAATTACTAAGTGGTTGGGGTACAAACTGTAAAGTGCTGCTGATACTTTTTTGTTTCCCCAATCTGTTCCCTTTAGACTGTATTGTGTGTCTCTGTTTGTGTGTGTGTGTTGCCATCGCACTATTAACATTCGTCAGGGTTTATAATTGGTAACTTTTTCATCCCTCAAACATCCCCTAATTTTTCTTCGTCTTTACGCGGCACACAGTTGAACCAAATAAGCCTTTATGACCACAAGAGTGTGGAAATGTCGTTTAAAGGAGGAGGATGAGTAAAAATAAAGAGAAAAGTTGAAGAAAAATTATTGATTGTGGAGTCCATTTGAAAAGCCACATTTTGGAGCAAAAAAAAAAAGTGATCATCGATCTTGAGAATGGGCTTATTTGATTCTACTATTACGAAACTTTAATGATAACAAACCCTTTACGCAATCAAAGGGTTTAGCAACT